TTACTTCAACACATGGGGAAAGCAATAAAAGCGAGGATAAAGTTAATCAACTAGAAAAAGTATCAAGACATATTCGTTTTCAGCCAGGTTTGCTCGCGGTTGCTTGGTCCCAAACCCTCGAGTCGGGGGCGTCTCACTGCAGTCAACCTTCATATCAGTTATCCACTGACCGCCTCTCCGTCAAGTCTAGTCAAGACCGGTGCGCGCAAAGAGGGCGCAGCGGGGCAACCGCTAAGCAGGAACACCAGTACGTACTCGTAGCCATGGAAGTCTGTGAATGGAACTAGTTCAACTCTACGCTTGACTGTGCTTAACGTGAATATCGCATGGTGCATGTGGACATTACCAATACCATCCTGTCAAACTAATACAGTGCTGCTATGGAGGCATTTGTGAGCAACAACCTGAGCTTGCTGACGAGTGGCACAGAATGCATATTGTCGGAGGTAAGTAGAAAACTCCCAGCGGTAAATACCATCCTCAGACAATTTGGACCCTCTACGTTTGCGGGGCCTGACGGCGTAACCCCAGTTGTACCAGCACCTATTGGTAAAGGCATGCTGTATTAGTTTTAACATAATCAGCCTTTTTCTAAAACGCAGCCAATTTCCGCCCCAGTGGAAACATTCTCATCCTTTCACGACACAAAGGGATGCAGGAAACGAAGTAGGTAATTATCGTCCCATTAATCACGTTTCCATCATATCTAGAGTATTTGAAAATAGTATTAAAAATTTGCTAGAGGAATATCTTCTAACACACGGAATCCCAAGTTGTCAACAACACGGATTTTTAACTAGACGTCATATGATACCTGCCAGGTGAATTTGTTGATTTACCTCACTTCTCCTGTAGAGGTCACAGGTCAGTACTAGTGATCTCCGTCCATATCCACCAAGCCTTCTATTGTGTACCGCGTAGACGGCTTTTGTTAACACTTAAATCTTTCGGTGTCCGTGACTAGCTTCTGGCTTGGTTTACTTCCTTTTTAGAGGAGGGCACACAAGCTATGTTACTTAATAATATAATGTTACTTCCACTTGCAATAATGCTTGGGTTCTATATGGCCGCTGTCATATTTTCCTCTTCTATATCCACAATGCTTTCGGTGTTTTAGGCTGGCTAGCAGAACAACCTCTTCGTGGTGCCAGCTGGATGGTTCGGGTTTACCCCGTTCCAGCAAATATTTCAGCGTCAGTGTTCCAGGACGTAGTGGGTTTTCGCCTAGTAAGCGTTCTCACTAGAAAAAGCCACAAATGTCTGTTTAACATTTTGACGTGGCGGTTGTGACTCGCTACTAACTAAAGTCACCCCTTGCTTATCCAGACAAGAGCTTCAAATCCACAGATATCAAGAAACCCTTTAGCACTGGAGACACTTACAAACACGATCAAAAGTGCAAGAAAGCTTCTACAAATTCCATAAACACAGCTACACAAGCTTACACGCACATACATTAATATATCAACGTATGTGACAGTCCTGTTGTTACAATTACGTTAACTGACCACTTTTGTATTCTTACTATGATCATGCCTGTGCAGGAGTGCCTCTCATAATCGAGCATAAACAGTTTATTTATATATTTATTTTCTAAAGCTAACTACAGAATACCACTTAGTTTACGGATGTTGCGAAGACCGTCTATACTTTTCTACCTGAAAATCTTCAGCCCGTGGCCGAGTGGTCTACACAATGAACAATGAACAATGAATTTATACGGGTTAAGAAGCGTTGCTTTACAAGCCCCGTTGGATAGTTGGTGGGGATATCAACATAATACTTATGATGAAAAGGATAGTAAAATAGTTAACACTTTAAATACGAAAATAAGGACTTATGGTTTGCTTCGCTGCAGTCCTGCGATCCACTTAGATTCACAACACCCACAGTTAACAACAAATAATTCCAGGGTAAACTCCAGGTGTAGGATGGAGACATAGTGTTAAGTAACAAAGTGTAAGTGGATGAGTGTATCGTCCAACCATGGTTTGCAACCATAAGGTCACTGGTTCGAATCCGCGTAGGTGTGGGCGTCCTTGCGGTATACTCAGCCCGCGTGCGACTGGTGGTGGTCGCGCGGCAGTGAAGCGCCGTTACGGCGTACAGCGAACACATTATTATTATTATTATTACCTGAAAATCTACAGATATTTACTAAAGCCAATTAAACGGACCTGAATTCCTTTGAGATCTGATCAAATGAATGTTTAATTAGATTCCACGTGCACAAGTTCAGCGTGTTCAGTCACAGATGTAGCATCCCCCCATGCAGCTTAATTCCAAACGGGAAACAAATCCACATTACTTAGTCCACCCGGGATCGTGGAGTAAGTTACAGTGACTTAGTAAAGTGCCCAACCCATGCTCAACAACAATTCACAAAGGCAAGGCGCGTTTTAGATCCAATCAACAACTCAGTAATCTTACCTAAAGCCAAGTTTACTGTTATATTGATTTGTATACTCCCAATTTTTAAGTACAGCACGATTATATACAGTCGCATGTGCAAAAGTGAATTGTTATCACCAGATGGTTTGCAGCAGAAATTCACTGGAAATCTTATGCATGAATTCTCGTTAGCAACATATCACGATGGATGCAAGCTACTGAACATCGATCCTTATTGGCTAAGACTAAAGATGTAGTTAGTTTTCTCCTACAAACTAATACCACATTTCAACTTTAGCTTAAGTGCCCTGTTGTGGTATAACGAGGATGAGGACTACAACTTAAGGAACAGAACATGTTTTCTGTTAATAAAAGCTCGCCGCAAATTTGCGCGTACTTTAATCTTTCGTAATGTGCAGCCGACTGTCACACTCAGTGAAGGTAAGTCAGTCTATCGGTCAAAACAAAACTGAACTACAGTACTGTTCACTCTTTTCGAAAGTAGTCACACTGTTGGAACGACAGGTAACGATCCAGGAGCTATATTTTCAAGGACAAGGAAACATATACAAACGATCATGCAACCTACTCATACTTGCATTCCAAATTCACTTTCTCCTATCTATCACAGTAACACGCAATTGGCGAGAGATTTATTTGGATATGTGTCAGGATCGGCAGGATCAGTGTCCGCGTAATCTCATTTACAAGCCCATTAGTTGGGAAATTTTGTGTCTCCCCTTTACACTGGCTTTGCATTATTAACTGTCTCCTCTTCTTCCCTGGAGACAAAAACTGGAGCACACGGAACAGTTCACAGCGGCCAGTACAGTAAATTTGTGCCATCTGTCCCGCTTTTCGATTACCCGAAGCTGCCGATGCAAACCCAATGTTCCTTTGGACGTTCACTTTTGTAATGAATACTTCTACAGGTTACTTGCTTTTTATGTTCCTAATGTACAATTTGAATTGGACAGCCGTCAGAGATGTGCGGTTCACATATCGTTACTACCCTTTAATTTCATATCCAGTCATTTTTCTCTTTTACCACAGTTGGTCACGTTTGCACCAATCATTTGAGGTGACTGACTGAAGCTTCCAAACCGTCTAGTACACCCTTGCAAGGCGGATTGCCACATACTCATTGTCGAACATAAAAGTGCTTGACAAGAAACAGCTGAATTATGGAATGGGCAGTATGGCGGGAGTGCCTAATGTGTAATAGCTGTCAATGTACGAGCCAACGTGGTGAAGGCGAAATCGCATATAACATAGGCTAGAACACGCTAAACCTGATAACAGTCCTACGAGCATTGAACAACAGCCAAAATACGAGTCCAACTCCGTGCGTGCCAGATGAGGCGTGGAAGTCCGGACGAAATGTTTCGAGGAACTACCTCACAAGCGAACAGGTCCCAGCATGATAGCCCTATTACTTTATTTGAGCCGTCGGCTATACGCATATTTATTAATAAACTCAAACTCTCCATCATTTATTACTTATGAATGATAGAATACTACTAACACCTAATCGGGACCAATGAAACCTTTGAACAACATTTGGTTTCTTTGTATAAAATGTTCAGACCACGAAATCGGTCTGTTTGGCAAAGTCGAGAAGTGTAAAATTTATTTATTTATCTCTGACCATTGCTGGGACGAAGCGGCCAGTTCTCCCAGCACCAAAAGAGTACTGTTCGCATGTTAGCTTATTAGACGGCCTTTCAACGAAAAGCTGAGGTCACACCGGTGTCAGAGGAATCGCAGTTTGGCAAGCGCTACTCTAAGTTATTACTGAGTACGAAATGAATCCGCTTGTCGACGCAGTGTCTGGTCAACTTCAAGATACACGGACATTGTGCCACACACGAGACCAGTTATCTTACCAGTATGTTAAACTACCGTATTAAGCTGATTTTGTCCTTCCATGCCGATCTTGTTTAGGCGACGGTCGAGGGGACACTAACCGTCTGGACGTCCACTGTGTCTATCTGGGTTGAGTCCATCTACCTAAGTTCGTGATAATCAGCACATCGTACATGGATTAATTGGACACACACACAATCGCAGAAAGCATAAAGACTAATGGCTGAATTGGACCAAATACGTGTGAATTTGTGTGAATATAGCCAGCGAAACGGTATAACTGATAGGAGTCGGTTCATGGTAAAATGATGAATTTTTATTGATTATGGAGGCATTTCAAACTCTCGCTAACCCAGTGATTTCCAGGGAAAAATTAACATTGTAATTTGACAAAATATGGTACCCGATGTCAATATTGCAAACAGTTAAGCGGTTCATAACACTTTTTAGTTTTAAGCAAACTCATTTACGGACGCAAGCTGTCTCAAGTTGTGAATTAAACCTCAAATCAAAAACACCAACGGGAAAATTACTCAGATAATTGCACACGATAGGCAAGGAAGCTGGTTCATTCAGGACAGACCGAGTCATTAACTTATAAGCAAGCTTATAAGCAATGGTGGATAATTTAACGTATCTCTCCAAAGTGAATAGATGGGGTAAATGTTGTGGCAAATACAGTTCACTAACTCAAGTCTGCTCAATTGTGTGGTGAACGCAGAAATGACGAGCTGTCTCACCCTTCAAACTGCCTGATTCAGGGGCAATTGTGAACCGACGTTTGATTCGTAGCGCCTCAAGTACATGTAGATTGGTCCCTCGTTGTTGAGTATAGCACCGCGAATGGGATCGTAATCAAAGTACGTAATACGATCACTATCGTCGTCGAGGCTTGATGCGATGAAAGCAGGGGCAGCCGAATAATTGGGCTGTTGTGATTGTGTCTCTATGACGTACTCTTCTTCTCCTCGGTGTACAGGTGACAATTGGTTTATTTGGACATCCGGGATGTCAACCGGCGAAGAATCACGCAACTCAGTAGACAGGTGGTTTTCACTAAGCGTTGCGAGATCTTCGTGATCAGCCGATTCTCCATTCATGGCTAAATTTGGTTGGGAAATGGCATTTGAGTGAATAGACACTTCGGATAGAGCAGAAAATGGCCTCTGTTCGTCAGGGGTATCCCGTAGACGTTTCGCTGGATCACGACATGCTTTGCAAACCATTTCACACAGCTTCGTCGTGTCCTCCTTGGTCTTACATTTGTAAGTTTCAAACAGTGACTTGCCGGGAGTGTCAGATTTTATCGCGAGCATAAACATGGTTGGGTGTTGTGGGAAGATGAAATAGTGTTCGATGTCAGTATACACCACCCAGTTTCGAAACGGTGACTTTGACATCACCTTTGTCTTCTTGAAATTCAATCGGTCCTCCAAAGCACTGAGTAGGGCGCCATGAGAGTGTCGCTTGCGGAGATGAAAGAAGAGCAGTTTCCCGACCGCTTCCTCGTTTAGGGCATCCGCAGAATCTCGTGTCACTTTGGCCACCGCACAAACCTTACACTGATGGAATATCAGCTGCTTGGTCTTCTTATCTCTGAGCTCTCCACTGGAGCCACCGAGTGAACCGTGCCTGGAGCCGCTTAACTTTCGGTTCTTCGCTGTACTGTTACGTGACATGGCGTATCTGTCAAGTGCCCGCCGAATACATCAAGGTCTAATAACCGGCGCCTTGGAGAACTGTTTATACTTCGGTTCGGAGACCGCTTCCGCCTATGAAATTCTAGCTAACCCGTTCTTTTTGGTATGCCGTGTGTGGGTGAGCTAGTGACACCCACCTACCCGAGATGGTTTCCGGCTTATGAGGATTCGACATTCCGTGCACTCGTGTGTCCGTGCTCGCATTTAAGCGTGTGGATGGGTGTGAGCACGTTGCACATTGATGTGCTCTGGCCAGTGCCTGCGGGCTCCAGTAGGGTGCACGCAACCAACAAGGCGTTTGGCACGCGTCTAACACGTGAGTGTGCAAAGGAGCCAGTTTTGCTTCATCCTTTGGCCGCCTGGCTGCTTTGAACGACCGATCGATGCGCATGCGTTTTGTGCGCTTACGAAGTTCCGTGCTATGTGCGCAGATAAGCAGCGAGTTAGTGCCTGCGCGCCAAACTTATTAGGCAGTTTTGAAACCAACTGAAGCACTCAGTCGGGGAAAAGTACAAGTTCAGATGTCGAAACAAATTTCCGGCGATGATAGCAGTAATAATCATAAAATGAAAAATGAAAATAAGAATTTTCCGGCTCCGCTCTAGATGAAATCGTCTAACGTGTTAACCGTGAATATAATTGGATAATTGGAGAAGATAATGCTGAGGGAAACATTGAAATGAGTACGGCATTGTTCGTAGACCTGCCGTTACAGAAGCGAAGACTCGGCTGGTCTTAAATGGTAATACCCAGTTTTGTTTGTGTGAATACAACCATTAACAGCTTACCTGCGGCCGGCAAAAATACACATGCGGTTCGTCTAGTGTTTCTTAATTTGGTCCAGAACTAGAAGCAGATGCACCCTGGAACCGAAGTACGCCAATACGCTAAATTGCCATCTGTCCAATGGCACAAATTGCTTTGCGGCGGGAATGAGATGGGGCACAGAGGCCCGAAATGTGTGTCCATCGAGCCGTTCGCCTGTGAGGAGTAAACTTTGACCAACACCGCAGCCGCAATCCACCTGTCTTGCGCCGACCGCAGGGCAAAATAAACGGAGCACAGGCCGATCGGCTGTGGAAACTGGACGTGAGCCATTCACCACAGCCGCACTGAACGTGTCATGCTTATATACCTCGGTAGTCAGCCTTCAAACAAGTGAAAAGTGTTTCCTGCGAAGTGCTTAGTGGGTCGCCGTGCTAGCAATTGAGAAAAACAGCTTGGCCGTATGTGATGATCAGTCGATGGGCGTCGTATTGCTTTAGCCACAAAAGCGGTTATCGTCTCATGACTGGCTTCCAACAAACCCGTAAGTTTACATTAGACTGCTTTTGCTGCTAAAGGGTATCTTACTGCTGCGAGTACATTGTAAGTTTACTGTGTTCTTCGCTTTGCCCTTTCGATCGCGCGCGTGTTACAGATGAAAATGCACTCTGCATGGGTGCATGAAACGAATGTTTGACTTAACTTGACGTGACAGTGCTGTTAGATTTCATTCTGCTCCGACGCACTGGTGGCACCATTAGACAGCATACCAATTTAATCATGAATGCAACGAGTTCCCTCACAGTCAGACGATTGTTAGTTGTACAAATTCATCAGACTTTTGTTAGTGTTTCTCGTGTACAGTGGAGAATATATATTTATTCATTTATTTACTTGTGTTTACGTGAAATATGTGAAAGGTCTGTAAATATCTGTGTATTTAATGTTTGCAGCATTGAACAAAGCGGATGGCCTCGCACCGGCGCGGATGAATCATCAGTTTGCGCGGTTGCGCAAAATGTAGGCAGTAATGGCCATTTCAGCATTCGGCAAAGCGCACAACATTATGAAACCAAACGCTATGCTGTGCATCGGATATTGAAGGGAAATTTTTACGGCGGTACAGAGCACTGCAGTTGCAAATGCTGACTGCATGCTATTCACGGAAGCTTTTGGAATTCGCCCGTTTGTCTTTAAACTGTTTGGACGTGCACTGCATTTTGTTCACCGATGAGGCTGTGTTCCTTCCGCATGGCAAAGAGACGCAATATGTTTGGGCAAAATCTGACGCATGTGGGTATCATAGCGCTTGGCTGGGTGGTCGAAAAATCGGTAGGCCCTTTTTCTTTTCCAGGAGTGTGCCCAGTAGGTTGTCCTTTAACAGTACCAATGTCCGACAATTCTTAGCATCCTCGTAAATCGGCATGTTGCGTGGCAGAATCATTACGAGACTACGGTCGAAAGGTTTAACGAATAACATTTAGCGGCAGCAGAATGGCGCACCTGCACATTCAGCGCAATCGGTTCGTGCCTATCTGAACGAGACATTCGGTGGACGTTGGATCGGTCGCGGAGGACTGAACAGATGGTCTGTGCGATCACCGGATTTGAAACCCATGAACTTCTTCATATGGGGATAATTAATATGCAAACTTAATGGAACTAAACCCACAAACCAAAATAAACTGTAAGAGAACATTGTGAAAGGAGTTAAGAAGATTTTGTTGGAGAGAACGCAGGAACTACATGCTAACACCATCCGGCGAATGTATCTCGGTAGCCAAAACGACGGAGAGAACTTAGAAGACCTAAATCGTTGATATTTACAAATCTTTCACTTAAATATAAGCAATGAAATGAATAAGTTTATATTCTCCACTGTACACGAGAAACACTAACAAAAGTCTGATGAATTTGTACAACTAACAATCGTCTGACTGTGAGGGAACTCGTTGCATTCATGATTAAATTGGTATGCTGTCTAATGGTGCCACCAGTGCGTCGGAGCAGAATGAAATCTAACAGCACTGTCACGTCAAGTCAAGTCAAAGGTTCTTTTTATGCACCCATGAAGGGTGAATTTCCAGCTGTAACACACACGCGATCGAAAGGGCAAAGCGAAGAACACAGTAAACTTACAATGTACTCGCAGCAGTAAGATACCCTTTAACAACAAAAGCAACTTAATATAAACTTACGGGTTTGTTGGAAGCCAGTCATGAGACGATAACCGCTTTTGTGGCTAAAGCAATACGACGCCCATCGACTGATCATCACATACGGCCAAGCTGTTTTTCTCAATTGCTAGCACAGCGACCCACTAAGCACTTCGCAGGAAACACTTTTCACTTGTTTGAAGGCTGACTACCGAGGTATATAAGCACGACACGTTCAGTGCGGCTGTGGTGCCTGGCTCACGTCCAGGTTCCACAGCCGAACGGCCTGTGCTCCATTGGTTTTGCTCTGCGGTCGGCGCATGACAGGTGGATTACTGCTGCGGTGTTTGTCAATCTTTAGGTCCACTTTGGAAATGGATTACAGCTTGATCGATGGCCTTAACAGAGTAACACGCACTAGGTACAGCCACATTCTCATTTCCGGGGACTTTAATCTACACAATCTGGCGACTTCTGCATCGCCCAGTGAGCAGTTCAAAGCAGACTTGAAAGAACTGTTCGCTAATATTCCCGTGTACATTCATGTCACCACGGTCACTAGATTCAGGACAGCGAACAAACCATCCATATTGCAACTTTGTCTCACGAAACTAGAGCTCATGTTTGACAAGTTATTGATGGATAGTCCATTAGGTCTCAGTGACCATGTAGTTATAACTTGTGACTATGTGTATTATGCCGAGTATCCATCTGAACACTCGGAACTAACTCATACAATCACACGCTACCACGTACTGAAAGAAATCGCCGACGCAGCTGATTGGGAATTCTCAAACGAAAGTCCACTTGACAACGTTTGGGTAGAGTTCGTTAATAGACTCATCGACATCGTCAACAAAGCATCAGAGACCAAGTCTCTTCGTCCAGCGAAAATGCCTTCAATTCTAAGGAGCTGAACTCGAAAATGCCTGGTGATAATGGATGCAGCATGGCGTGCCTACAAGCTTAACCCCGACTCAGAAACGTGGGACACTTTCCTGACCCATTGCAACCTGACCATTGCAGTGCACTTGTCCGTGATGACAAATTAACTTATCAACAGTGCCCAGACAAAAAAGTTCATGACAAACAACAAACTGCTATATAGACATGTCAATACACTTCGTAAAGTGAAACATGCAATCCCTCCACTTTTCACGACATGCGGTAGAGTACAAGGTGCCGAAGAAGCAGCTAATGCCCAGCGGCTACATTACGCCCCCACTTCCGAAAGCGCAACTCTACCTGTCCCATAATGTCAAGCGCATTACGAACGCCATTGTTCATTGATGTAATTTTCAACCCATCAATTGTGCTAACGCGGTTACTCTCACTGCGCGATCATAGCTCTCCAGGAGCAGACAACATCCGCCCAAAGGCACTGAAGGCTACCGCCAACAAGCTGGGTGAAACACTGTCACAGTTCTTCCACAATTGCTTTTATGAACAACAAGTCCCCACTATGTGGAAGTGTGGCATTATCACCCCAATTTTTAAAGGCGGTTGCAGTTCAGATTCTGCAAAATATCGTCCAGTGACTCTGCTCCCTGTGCTCGCGAAGGAAACGAAAGCAGTCGTCGCTAAGGCTTTAATGGACTACCTGGAAAAATGCAACATCTTGGTACCGGAGTAGCATGGCTTCGTCAACACGGGTCATGCACCACCAACCTACTGATTGCATGAGGTAGTTGGACGGTCGTGGCTGATGATAGGGTCGAAGTTGACGTCATATATCTGGACTTCTCCAAAGGTTTCGACCGCCTTGATCACCGCATCCTACTTCACCGGCTACAGAGCTATGGATTCCGAGATCCTGTATTTGGTTGGCTTGGCAACTTACTTCACTAACGGAATCTTCAAGTACGCGTTAGGGGATCACTCTGTAACCCGACTGAGGTAGAATGTGGTGTTCCAAATGGCTCAGTTCCGGGACTGCACTTATTCCTGGCGTTTATCAACGACCTGGCATCAGTTATCTCCGCAAATTTCCTGCTTTTGACCGATGATGTCAAGATATGGCGGGCGATTAGTAACAAGCCAGATCAGAATCTGCTCCAA